TAAATGTTTTATAAACATGTAGTTTAAGGTGTTTTTGAATTATAATTGCTGTTTTGGCTTTACAATTATCAGTACATAACCAATAATAAGTAAAGTGTTAAGATCTAAAAAAGTTAGCATATGCATTGTTCTGTAAGATTTTAGTTTCTATAATGCTAACAATATTGATATTATAAGATAAACAGTAATTCTTTTATGTTTGTTGTTTTAAGTTGTTATTATAACTTTGTGTATTATGTGTATATATTAACAGATGAAGTGTTTTATATGAGTTAGGTATAGATATTTTAGCTATTAAGTTAGAAGATATAGATTCAGAAATGGTTTTTGTTCAGAAAACTGTATAATTAGATACAAAGGTAGATGATAAGTTAGTAGATAGAAATACTAAAGATGAGTTAGTAAGGAACAGTTGATTAAATAAAGATGAGTTAGTATTAGATGAAGTATTATTTGGTGTTGTTAGTAAAGGTAAGTGCTTGTATAGTTTATGTTAAAAAGGTTAAATGAGATGATATTTAGGCAGAATAGAATCTGAAGGGTTAGTGTATATATGTAACTCAGTTTTGTTATGATTGATAGATATATTAAAGCTATGTTTGAAGGAATGTTTTTGAAGATTAATAGAAATTCTCTGAATATTATATAGTGGTATATAATAGATAGATTATATAGTAATAGAAATTTGTTATAATATATATTTGTTTCTGCAAAAGGTGAAGTGTTGAAAACAGAAACATAAAAGGTTGTATTGTTTTTTACAATATCATTTATCATTTAAAGCTCAGCTTGCATAGCTGTGAAGAGTACCTTAGTCAGCTCTATATATTTGGTCTAATTGTTATTAACTTGGCCCTTCATATAAATAGGCTTTACTGCTGTCCACTTATATTATTTTTCTTGCCACCTACTAAGAGTATATCTCTTGACAAAGTGGTAACTGCATCTATAAGGTTTGTAAAAAACAGATTTATTAAAAAAGAGTTTCTTTAAGAAAAAGAGATTCTTCAATTACAGAAATTATTAAGTATGATATTTTAATTTTGTCTTATAATATTTTGTTTGCCTCTGAATAGACTGTTTCTTAGTAATAAGTATTGATTTAAGGGTATATTAGAGGTTTGTCAAGAGAGTTAAAGAATGTCAAAACTCTTGCCAATAGTAGGCTTGAAAGTAATAAGTTCTATTGCTTTTTGTTTGTTAAGTTTGTTAATATAATGATTTTGTACTATAATATTTTAATATAAATTAAGATATAAATAAAAGTAGTAGCTGTGACATTTGGGTTGGTTAAAACATTGTTGATCTTGCAAGCAGATTTTTCTATTTCTGTTGCAAGCTCATCAAGAAGAGAGGTAGAAATTTGTTTGTTAAAGGATATTTCATATTTACTATTTTTGTAAAATATAGATAAGTCAATTTCAGATTATTTTCAAACTTTATTTTCTTGTTTTGGAAAGTCTACATATGATTTTTTAAAGATATTATTTAGTAATTGTAAGAAATTATGTTGAAATTGGAAGTTGGAAGTTGTAGTAGATGAGTTTGTATTTTCTGGTTCTTTTCTTTTGTTTTTAAGTTCTGTTTTTTCTAAGTATAAAAAAGTTTCTTCTGTACAAATAAGAATATGAAAGTTGGCTAATTTTATTGTTTCATTTTAATGTTCTTGTAGGTTGTAAAGTTATTGAAATTGTATTTCAATAGATAGAGTTTCTTTAAAGTAAAAAATAAATTTTTGTCAGATTTGGTATTTTAAGAAGTTAAATACTTTAGTTTTATCTAATGTTTAGACAAATTGTTAGTTGTATGTTAGAAAAAATTAGTTAAACTATTGTTTTAAATGATCTAAAGAATTAGTAAAAAATAAAATGTTTAGTTTTTGGTGAAATAATGTTTTTGGAATATTAAAATCATGATAAATATTAAATTTGCTATCAGATTTAATTATAATATATTGCTTTTCTTTACTAAAATCAGATACTTTTGATATAATGTTAAATCTTTTAGGTTGAAGTTGTAAGTTTTCAACAAATTTGATGTAATTAATTGCTTGGCAGTTGTTTAAAAGATATAAATGAATGTGAGCCAAATTGATACAAAGTTGAATGCAATTTTGGTTGATATATGAAGAGATAGTAGCTAAAGAGATAAAGATTTTGGAATAGTTAAGTTTTGTAAAAAGAATTCTTATAAATGTCAGATTAAGTTTTTTGAGAGTTTCTTCAAGTATATCAAAAGAAATAGTAATTGTTTTGTTTGTATTAGGATTAGTTTTTTAAATAAACTCAATAAGATATTTAGGTTTGTCTCCAATTATTTTATGAATGATATAGTAAAAGCTAGCTTTAAAGACCTTTTGTTTAGAGGTTTTAGGTTTGATTTCTTTATCAGAGTAAAAGTCATGTAGATAAGATTTAAGAAAATTAAAAATTTTTCTTGAAAATTCAGTTTGAAGTTGTAATTTATCCTTTATATCTTTAGAAATTGGAAAGTTGACAAGCCAATTAAATGTTGAATTGGCTTTAATTTATTGTTGTTTGCTAGTTATATTAGTTTGTATTGGCTGTTGTTGTTATTTGCTTGTTTGTAGCTGTTATTGTTATTGTTTATTAGTATAAAGTAGGTTTTGATATAGCAGTTGTTAATGTTGTTGTTATTGTTAATGGTTGTTATTATTATTAATAGTGTTATTATCAAGATCTATATTATTTGTAGTATTGTTATTGTTGTTAAGTGAGATTGTAAAGGTAAGTTTAAATACAGGTGAATTGTAAGAGCTAATTGTTTGTTGAAGTTTTTAAATAAATATAAAAAAAGAACTTGATTGTTAAGCAAATTATTATGTATTAGTACAGGCCTCATGATAAGGTTTATCATTATATAAAGTAGTATCTGTTGTCAGATAATATTGGTTATTTATTTTTTTAAAGGCAATAGGTAGATTACATTTAGTACAGAGATGATTATATATAGTTAATGAAAGTAATACTATAGGTGATAGTGGAACAAACTTAATAGAGTTTGTAATGATATTTACTAAAATTTTTTTATCTTTAAGTTTTGAAATGATTTTTATAGTTTCATGTTATTTGTAAATTTGATTAGTTGTTAAGATAAAATATGTATGGTATTTGTTACAGAAGCATATAACAATAGAGCTAATTCAGATGTTTTAAAGTAATAACTACTTTTAATGCTTCTTCTAAGTTTAGTAATATTGTAGTTATTAGGTTGTTTGTTTGCAGGAATAAAGCATAATGAGATTGCTGCATCTTCATGAATATCAATTCCAAAACTTTTAGAATACTTCTAATAAAAATAGTCAAAATTAATAATATTAGGTGCAGTTGTTATAAGAATTGATATTTTTTTCTAAAATAGATTTTTAGATATGATTTTAAAAAAATTTATTTTATTTAAAGGGTTCTAGACTAATTAGAAAAGTTTTAAAAAGAGTTTAAATTTCAGATAAGCTAATTGGATATTTGAGAAATTCTAATAAGTACCAGAAAGATGAAATTTCTAAGACAACCTAGCAAGTTTTTCTAAAATTGGCAATAAAAAAACCTGTAAAGAGTAAGGTTTTGTTTTTATTTTTTAGTTGTATCTCTATGAGTTTTAATTTATTTATAATAAATTATATATAAAAATGTTCATCTTAGTGAGCTGAACAACTTTTAAATAGGTTTAAAGATAGATTTAATTAGTACAATTATATATAAAAAAACTAAAACTAATAACTTTGTTTTTAGAACTTTTCTCAGCAATCAAGTATTATTGAAAAATAAAACTTTTGTCTAGAAGGAGAAAAATATGCTGAATAACTTTATTTAAGAGGTCAAGTAAGGTTTACTTAATAGAAAGTTAAGAAATGATCAAATGTTTTTTTGTAGTTTTGGTATAAGTGATCTATAAACAGAGTTGTTTTTAATTATTAAATGTTTTTCTAAATTAACAAAATCACATTCTAATATCAATAGTAATTTAAAAAAAAATCTATAAGTACACACCTTTGCTCTTATTACAAGCAACTAAATCATTATGTTAAGACTTGTACTATTGCACTTTAATTAGTAATTTTATTAATATTTTTTGATTTTGTCTATTATTATGCTAATGATGTGATATTTTATTACAAGATTATTATACTACCATGTCTAACAAAATACTATACTCTATAATTGATATTGTATTTAATAATTTCAGATATTTTTTTTAAAAAAAAATTAAGTTTATTATTAGTTGACATAGGAGAATAAATTGTATATGTAATAAATAAGAATGTAGTAATATAATTATATTAACTGCACTTATTTGTTACATGATAATTTTCATATTCTATTTATACTAAATAAAACGGAAACATTTAAAGCAAAAATAGCTTATACAATTCAGATTTTTGAATTAAACCTTAGAGATAGGATTATCTTAAATTAGGAATGTGTTAGATTTTAAATAAATATATATCTGCAAAATTGTCTCTTTGACATTTTTACTTAAAATACCTAAGTTAGGTTTAGACTGCCGTTTTTGTATTTTTTAGGTTTTTCGGTTATCTTTATTGTATTGTTTCGCCTGCATGTGATAAGACATAGTCACGTGATATGTTGCAGGTTGATATCTTCCCCAGTATCGCCGTCAAAATTTTCACTTTCACGTGACCACGTTTAAAAATCTTTAAATTCGTTTAAGTTAGGGTTAGCGTTTATAATAGGACTAGGTTTTAAAAGAGTAATAGTAAAATCACTCGAGGAATTTTTTTTGTTAGAGCTCAAAAGGTGGTTTCTTATGCAAGTTTTTGAGGAATAAGCGATTTTGAAAAGCGAACGTTTTGTTTTGATCTTCCTGATCGTGTAACGTTACATTAAAACGAAACATACTATTGGATGATCATCACGTGAAAGTGAAAATTTGACGGCGATCCTGGGTTACAACTATATATACTGTTACAGTAACCATGGTTACAAATATATAATTTATATTATTTCGCATTTGTTCACTTAATTTGGCAAAGCCATTGTTGATCTTATTTGTCGAGGTAAAGATTCCATAATTCGAATCATTTTGCACGGTAAAGTCTGGTCTAGTTCCATTTGCAAATTCTTGACAATTTTGAGATTATTATGTTTTGATGCTGGATTCCTATAGAGAAAATTTGATATAATTTCTAAAGTAATTGCAGAGTGATCGATATCTGCCAATATATCGATAGATGGTTCTAAAATTTTAATTCGGACATTTTTAACGAAAAAAAATTCCCTTCAGAAATTTTTAAGAGATTCAATTTATTATTTCAATAAATCAGAATTTTCCCAATAATTAGATTAATTCTATAAGTTTTTTTAATAATAAGGACGTCAATGTTACACATTAATCCTTCACACGATGTAGTTAATTAATAATAAAATTATTTATTTAGAGTTTACTCTATAATGTATGTTATGGCTATAACCCTTCGTCCCGTCGTTCACACTGAGTGATCAGTTAACTGAAATTATTTATATGTGTGATGGATATAATCCTCATTTGGTGTAGCATCAACGGTTCCTCCTATTAATAAGATATGTATAATACATTGTACAGTACTAAAAATGAAAGTAATTTGGCGTTCTTTTAAAGTTTTAATTCCGGTTGGTACACAGCAAAACCATGCTCTGAGTATATGTAAAATATATACTCAGAGCATGGTTTGCCGTGTACCAACCCATATGATTAAAATTATCAAATCAACAAAGAAAAGAAGTACATTCATGTTACATTTTTACTCTTAAAAATAGAAAATATATTATCTAAATGTTCATTGATCTCTTTATCTAATTCTACATTTGCAGGTGGAAACAAATTGCTCAAAAAACGAATTTCATTTTTTTGCAATAAAGTTACTTATTCGATTAATATCCAAAATAGATTCCTCAATAAATCTTTTTTTTTAAAAAAATTAGAAGATCGAATAATTAACAACCGTTTTTATAAAAATCAAAAAGTACCTATAATTCTTCATCCTGTTATGCAAACTACTCCATAAATTGAAAATGACTGTGCTTTGCTTTGAAGGAATGATACAAATCGTAGAATAATAGTTATTTAAATATGATTCGCCTTTTTACGACATCTTATAGGATAATTATTATCTTTACTAATCTCTTTCAAGGAGTTTATCCCAATTGTTTCACTACATTTTTTATCTGTCAAGAATTTTCGAAATTCATCATAACTCCAATTATTCACATCAAATTTTTCAAAATATTCATCATTTCTGGCATTCTAAAAATAAAGAAAATGTAGTAATAATTATTTATATAATTTTCTCAGAAATTGAATAATAAACTACTGCACAACGTTCTTTGGGCTCAACCACTGTGTTCTTTGAATTTTTAAATGAATTGAACGAGTAGAACACTAAACTGTTACACAGCGTTGTCAAACTGCTGCATAACGATCCTCAGTATAACGGACAAAACATCAAATAATAATCATCATTGAATAATTATCTAGTTAAATCTATTTAAATTCTTACTTAACAAAGGTAATATACCAAGAACGTAGTTCAAGTGAGTGTATGATTTAATAAAGGCAAATAACTATTTTGAAATATTCGAATTCTATTGGACAACTATACTTGCTGGCAAAACCCAGACAAATCTTAAAACCTCAAAAAGCAATAAAAAATCAAGTCAACAAAATAATTGATATTTTGTGAATATATTGCTATAAGAATATATATGATTTGTTTAAATAAAAAGTTTTGAGATATTAGTTTGGACTTGAGTTTGGGATTTGTGCCCGAACGACAAGTATATGGGCAACGTGATCACTGCATGGTATACTTTTGGGTTATAACTATAAAATAAGAACCGCAGCTACACATTATATAAATTATTCAAATTCTGACAAATTATTCTTGATCGAATCGGTTTAACATCCTTATCCGTGGCTTTTTACTATCAGCTAAATGAACGTAAGGGCCTTACACCTGATTAGTATGCTATTTGACATTAATATAAAGGAATAATACACTTATTGTATTATAAAATATTACATGAACCTTGGATATAAATTGGATTAAATCTCGCAAAGTAGTGTGATGATCAAAAAATCGAACAGGTTTGAATGCTATTTAATAATCATATGATACTCTTAAATTAATTGCCGAAAATAGCAAGGTATAACAATAACAGATATATTTGTCAAATCTAAAAGCTACGCAACAAGAATTTAACCAGAAAAACCAGCATAAGCATATCACACTCAGATTTCGCTGACAATTTTAAAAATCCCGACATTATTGATTATCGATAAGCAAACCGCCATAATTACTGAAAAAAGTTAGCATTAGCATATTGATATTTATTCAATGTAAATGCAAATTAGTTCGTTATAAAATGTGACTAAAATGAAATGGCCATTTTTTAGGGGTAGAATAATAAACAAGTATTGGTGGTTTTAGGGGGTCACATGGCAAAATCATGCTGTCTAATACTGTAATAATAAGGCACAAGGTACCTAGTGATATTTTCATGATCATCACGTCACATGATTAAACGCTCAGCTTAAGTTAGGATTAGGTGATAGTATAATTTAGGCCGATTTGTTTAGTGCTAGTAAACAAATGATGTGATTGCACGATTTCACGTGATGTGATGATCACTGGGTTCCTTGTTCCCTATAACGATAAGAAAATTTTCGAACTAATATCGTGCATATGTGTCGTGCTTGAAATTAGCACCTGAAACTTCAATCCCTGAAGTTGAAACTGCCTAAAATTAAAAGGAAAATTAATTTCAGGAGTTTAATTTTGGTTAGTGCCTAAATTGGTAGATGTCAACTTCATACGATATGCTTTATGCTAGTTTTCTGGTTAAATTCGGCTGTGCGTAGCTTTTAGATTTGGCAAATATATCTGTTATTGTTATACCTTGCTATTTTCGGCAATTAATTTAAGAGTATCGTATGATTATTAAATAGCATTCAAACCTGTTCGATTTTTTGATCATTATACTACTTTTGCGAGGTTTAATCCAAAAAGAGGTTACATTTATATCCCCTTTTTAGCAATTTGGCTAACTACACACATCGTAAGGATTTATCTTTATCTGACATTAAACTTGATATATTTCATGTAATATTTTATAATACAAAATTCTTAAGCATATTATTACTTCAAATAATTTGTCAGAATTTGATAATGTAATTGCGGTTCTAGTAATAACACAAAAAAGTATGCCCATGCAGCGATCACGTTGCCCAATAGAATTCGAGGTTTCGAAAACTGTTATTTGCTTGTAAACCATACATTCCGTTTCGCTGTGTTCCTTGTATTTTTTGTTCGTTAAGTAAGAATTTAAAGTGATTTAACTAGGTGATTATTCAATGATTATTATTATTTGATACTTCGTCTGTTAGACCAAGGAACGTTATGCAGCAGTTAATAACGCTGCGTAACAGTCCAGTGGTCTACACGTTTGATTCATCTAAAAATTCAAAGAACATTGTGCAGCAGTTTAGTTGAGCCTAAAGAACGTTGTGCAGTAGTTTATTATTCAGTTTCTGAGAAAATTACATAAATTAATTTATTCAAATCAAAATTTATATGCATTATTCTTACTATATTTTCTTTATTTTTAGAATGCCAGAAACGAATGAATATTTTGAAAAATTTGATGTAAATGATTGGAGTTATGATGGATTTCAAACATTCTTGACAGCTGAAAAATGTAGCGAAACAATTTGGACAAGTTCCTTGAGAGCGATTAGTCAAAATGATAATTACCCTGTAAGATGTCGTAAAAAAGCGAGCCATATTTTAAATAACTATTCTGTAATTGTTGGTATTCCTTCAAAGCAAAGCACTGCTATTTTCAAATTATGGGATAGTTTACGTAAAAAGGTGGAAGATGATAGGTAATTTTTGATTTTTATAAAAGTGGTTGTTAATTATTCATTTTTCTAATTTTTTCTTTTCCAAAAAAAAAGATTTATCAAGGAATATATTTTGGATATTAATCAATTAAGCAATATATTGCAAAAAAATGAAATTCAATTTTTGAGCAATTTGTTTCCACCTGCAAATGTAGAATTAGACGAAGAGGTCAATGGATGTTTAGATAATATATTTTCTATTTTTAATAGTAAAGAGGTAACATTAATGTACTTCCTTTCTTTGTCTATTTGATAATTTTAATCATAAATAATAAAATTTAGACGCTTAATGCTGAAAGTATATTTGAAGAAGTAGAACAGAAACGGAAATTAGTAAATTTGGGAATTAAAACTTTAAAAGAACGCCAAATTACTTTCATTTTTGATGCTGTACAAAAATTGTAATGTATTATGCAGATCTTATTGTTTTCAAATTACTGGGATCAAAAAATTTCACGTATCATACCAGGAATCAGGAATCTGAAAAAAATGATAGTATATAATTGATTAAAAATTGTTGATTTTTTAGCCAATTACATATTAATGTTTCTCTAGATTCCTGGCATGTTACATGAAATTTGCTGATCACAGTAAACTTATATCTAATAATTGGAAAAGTTAACCTTTTAAATTCTTTGATTTATTGAAATAATAAATTGAATTAGTCTTAAAAACTTTCGAAAGAGTGATTTTTTTTCGTTAAAAATGTCTGAATTAAAATTTTGTACAGAGATTTTAGAATCATATATCGATATATTGGCAGATATCGATGGTTCTTATACTAGTTGGTAAGTAATGTACATTCTATTACTCCGCAATTATTTGAGAAATTATATCAAATTTTCTTTATAGGGATTCAGTATCGATAGCATCAAAACATAATCTCAAAAATCTTCAAGAATCTGCAAACAGAACTAGGCCAGACTTTACCGTGCAAAATTGTTCAAATTATGATATTTTTACTTTAGAAGTTGCCGGAAGCCCGACAAATAAGATTCAGAAAAAGATCAAAAATGACTGTCAAATTCAGTAAACAAATGCGAAACAATATAAATTTTATTGTTGCTCAAGAGAGAAAAAAAGGTCGTTCATTATCTGAAAATTTTCAAATCTTTGGAGCAACGATAGAAGGGTTTGATATTGTAATTAAAAGAATGATATCTATTGATCGATATGTTATAATGCAAGAAATTTTTATAATTGAAGTTCCATCCAGTATTACAGATTATTATAAGCTTAAAAGCTTACTTAGTAAAGTGATAGCTTTGTCAGTAAGTCTTAATTTATTATTTTTTTAAGCAATTCTGTTTCAATCGTTTTTACATATTTGTATATAGGTCCTCATCAATCAAAGTCTGAAGGTTTTAAGAGATAATATTAATAGAGATGTGATCTGAAACCATAACTAGCATGAATTTATATTTCTAATATTAAATAAAATATATTAGTTTCATTTATACATTATTATAAATTCGCTATTTGAGTGACGAAAAGGGAAAACCTGTAAATCATTTCACTTATTGAGTGAAATTATTTACAGGTTTTTCCTTTCCGTCACTCATTTCCACCTCCACTTTTGCTATTGCCAACCTTCACATAGTCGGTCCCTATGTCTAGAGTTGCAATTATACCAGTATAATAAAACCTGATGGTATAATACCATGTATAATATAATATTATACCGTTTACTAATTTCCCCAAGGTTTTCGATTTTGGCCAATCAACGAGCAAGATCAGGTGTAACGTGACAATCAAAACAACAATCGTTTTTTTTTGTAAAGTCACATTTATCTCTAAGAAATCACCTTTTGCGTATTAACAACAAAAATTCCTTGCAAAATTTTTGTATAATGCCCTACCGCAAACCCTAACCGGGATGTCACATTTTAAATGGAAGGTGACATGTAAATTGGTACGAAATCCCAGCCAATAAAAACTTTGGGGGGAAATTAGTAAATGCCGCATAGAGGACTTTCGTATGATTGGCTAACATTTTTATTTAATTTTACATTATTTATACAGTTTAAATTACTTTTTTAAAATATAAAACTGCACTTAATAAAATAAAAAGAAGGATATATGAAGGTTTATTAGAGTTGTAGGACTATTACCAAAAAGTATCTTACTTCCTCATTTGTTTTAAAAAGTTAGTATAGTAGTAACTTCATTCCATCGGTTTCTGAGACATTACTACTGTGCTAACTTTTTTAAATAAAAGAGGGAGTAAGATACTTTTTAATAACAAAGTCCTACAACTTTAATAAAGCTTTCTACTTCTCTCTTTTTATTCTATTAAGTGTAGTTTTGTTTTTTAAAAAGGTACTTTAAACTGTATAAATAATGTAAAATTAAATAGAAAATGTTAGCCAATCATACGAAAGTCCTCCTATGAGTATTGAGTGGTGTAATTAGTATAATTACAGAATTACGTATTTTTTTTAATCTGGCTTTTAACCAATAATATTCCCTTAATACTTGATTGCTTGTTGTCCGAAGGACACTTTACTTCTACGCCATCCATGCAATGTCTGTTAGCAATATCCAATCAACGTTTCCGATTTGGATGCACTACATATCTCTGCATATTTATAAAAATAAACAAAATAAATAAAAAATTGGCAGATACGTTAACTAATTGCTTTGAACATTTATTAGCTTCTGATATTCTAGTTATATTTTTTTATTTTTTATTTTTTTTAATTTTGGTGACATTGTCAGTTGGTTTATTAGTGCTTAATTTAATATAGTACAAATTTTATGGTTACATGTTTAGGATCAATTATTACTAGTATTATATTTGCTATCTAATTTTACATCATTGACTTCACCCAGTTACCCATATAGCATCTAAGTGTGTGTTCATCACATGCTTGCATGTAGTTACTTTAACAACCACTTGCAGTTAGGATATACTATTAAATTGTTATATAAATAAGAATACCTATCAAACTTAATATAATATACTAAATATCAGAAATACTGTCTTCTGTAGTCATATTTATATATTTTATTCACATGTTTTACCTGGTCTTGTTTCTTCTGTCTTTTAATCTAATTATATCTAATAATATTTTGTTTTTCACATTTTTTACTTTTTTGTCATTGTATCATTTCCAAATTGGTATATCTGATCTTTTAAATTTTTTATTTTTAGTATACTTATTATTGATTTCTCTAAAATGTTCTAATAATGGTCTAAGATCTATATCTCAAGTTAGGACTGCTATTATTATTAGTTTTTTGATCAATTCATATCTTAAGTCAGGTTTATTATTATTATTTTTACAGATATTTCAGGTTTTAACATTATAAAATATTGCATTTAACTTCTAACAAGATGCTTTCTTCTATAATAAAAATTAATACTTGTTGTATTTATAAACAGAACAATTTTAGTTATATCTAAAAAATTCCTTTAATTTCAGTAATACTATATTATTATATATTATAAACTTTTAGTTTATTTAATAATATCTGTAGAATTATTCTGATTATGTTCAAAGAGTTATACTAAACTTAATAATATTATACTACTTTGCAAATCTTATCTTGTATTGATTAATTGATTTCAATTTTGTTCATTATAAATTTCTATATAAGTATGATTAGAATCTGATTTAGTGTTTTTATATTGTATAAGAAAATTATACATCATTTTTCAAATTTTTTCTTCTATAATTAGATTATTTAACTATATTAGAGGTGTTTTTAATTTTGGTTAGGCCAATCCTTTAATATAGATTATACTTATATTTACTATTTCTCTTATCATTCAAGTTTTAGTTATTTTAGACTATTATTTTAATTAAATTTTCTTCTTAAATTCTAATTAGAACATATTTGTACAATCTGTTAATTATTTTTTCAAGCAAGTATTCTACAAATTAGATACAATAATGTTAGTATTGCCTATATTAGAAGATATAAGAATATTAATGCTATTCTAGTCTAAAAAACTTATATGCATAATCTTTTCATAATTATAATTTTTTGTAACAATCACTTATTTTATATAGTATCTGCATTTTATGATTAGATCTTTTTTTAGGAATTTCTTTATTCAAATTTGTATTTGCATTTAAAGTTTTCTATAGATCTTCATATCTAATTAATGGCTCCAATAAGTTACAGAAATAAAATTACCTTCAGTCTAATTTGAATTATTAATCTTGTTTGTAAAAGGTTTGAAAACTTATTTACTAAGCTATAAGACCCAAATCTCTTATTTTTTTATAATTATATTATTGATTACTTAAAAATATATCTAAATTATTATAATTTTTATCTATATATAACAATTATCAAATCATAATTTTTATTTTTTTTTTATTTTTTTATTTTTTTTTACTAAGATCATACTTGTGGTAATACTTTATTAACTTTATATTGGGTTAGCTATTACAATTATTATTACAGAGATGAGAGTACAGCTAGTCACACATGCAACTTTTGGTTGCCTATTTAAGTAGTCTGCTCTAAGGTTCTAATTAGATGGCGTACCTATAACCTACTAGGAGATTATCTATTTAAACCTTCTGATCATCCGCCCTGTCATATTGGAATCCCCAAACTAACCTCCTATATATACCTACTTAGTATACTGTCTGAGCAGTATAGTACCTACTCTTTTTGTACTGGTTCCCAGGCTGTTACACATTTCAGAGTACATCATCTGCCAGTAAGGTGCAGGGGGCCCCCTAT